GCTGAACAAGTTCTTGCCCTACCTTTCCTTCGTTCCCATTGGCCCAACTCATATTCCTAACCCACCTGAGATCCAGACTTGAATCCCCCAGTCAGACATAGGAAGAGCATGACATTAGGCAGAAGTCCAGTTCTCAGTTTACTGTTATTATGACAGTTTAAAAATTGTTACTTAACCCTTTGCCGACCAAGGAGACGTCCCCTCCGAAAGCTGTTGTCAACTTGGTGACGCAGTACAATCCAGCAGTTATAAAGCAGAAAATTTTGATTCATTCAAGAAATTTGACCGAGCATAATCTTTGATGATATGTTTATGCTGAAATTTGCAGTTGACATCTGCAAGCTGAGCAGTTTAATTTTTCAAGCCGTCCTCTATGGCTCATCTCCTAGGTAACTGCTGCTTAAATCACACCCGTGGGGCTTTTTCCTTATCAACTATTGACTTTCTTTAACTATTTGGCCCGCCCCTTCATTTTCCATATCAGAGCCCAAAATGTAGCCAGTTACCTATTTGTGTAAATAAAGTTTTATTGGAACATAGACGTGCCCATTAGTTTAATTTAAGTCTGCTCTGTTTTCCCTCTATAGTAGCAGAGGTGAGTAGCTGTGAAACACGGAGCATGGCCCATAAACCGAAAATGTTTAGAGTCTGGACCTTTACAGAAAAAGTTGTTGACCTCCACTGTATATTTATGTGGCCTATTTATTTATGTGTATTCCTACTTCTTGACATGTGGCATGCTAAAGAATCAGTAATGTCCTTTTAGTACTCTCACTCTCTGATGGTCTCACAAGCATATATAGGGAAATACTTTTGCTTTTACCTGTTCCACCTGTGCTCTTTCAATTCTCTGGACAACTTCTCTTTGTTTCTGTGCCCTCAACAGTTTAGTCCTCTTCATCTTCTAAAACTTCCAGCCCTTTTTAAGGAGTGAGAGGGAGAGGGGTGACAGCTTTCCGCCTGGCCCTAGGACACACTGGTGCACACACCTGCATATACTTAATGCGTAGATACAAGGTGCCGAACACATGGACAAAAATCAGGTTTGGTGTCATTTTATTTCCCCTGTACTCATCCCTCCCAGTTTCATATTTGTTGTGGTCACAGCAGTACAATTTTGTGAAGGAGTGCTTGATACGGGCCAGGAAGGTTGACAAAGGGAAACGGAAGAGGAGATTTCCCTCGACCTGCATGCTGGATTTCTGTAAGCAGAGCAGCGACTCATCAGAAGGCCGAGTAGTTAAGCTGTACTTGAAGAAAAACAGGGATAATAATACCTCTTTCCTGCATTTTTGCTGTCTAAATGCCCTGTGGAGTGAGAGAAGACTTCAATCCCTGTGCTTGTGAATCCCTTATCTTTCCCAAACGTTAAATTAATTTTTAAAGCTATTTATTCAAAGTTGACTTAACCACTAGAATAGGAAAGATCAGACAAATCAGCTGCAAGAAATGAAGTATGAGGAAACCCGAACTCTTTGACAAAGTATTCCTGGGAGTAAATGTGTTGAATGAAGCCAGCGGGTAAATGATAAGGGCCTTTACACTGTGGATGTAAGAAGGCAATTTATCAAGAGTACATGAACTCTCCAGTGACCACACGTCAGGAGGAAACGAGAGTGGAGGAGGAGCCCTAAAAAAATACACTTGAAATACTAAAAAGTGTGAGTGTGTACGCGCGTGCACTTTTAAATACGCACATTAATATGCAGAAATACCGGTGTGTTAAAAGAGGAGCTGCTCAGAGTGTACACGTACGGTAGCCCGTGCTGTTGGGGGAGAAGGTATTAAGAATGGTTTCGAGCTTGCAGAAACCTTGGGTGCTTGCAGGTAGGGTTAGGATTTGAGCCTGGTGGTTGTTGTCTGATACCCATTTGCCTGACTCAGGAGATTAGATGACCATCTTTCAGGCTCACGTGTTTATCTCTTTTAATCTTCAGAAGGTCATGTGTACAATTCTGATAGTTGAGCTAATGCTTTTGTGTTCTCTTCAGGAGTTCAAAGCGCCTCTCATTCGTTATCTCATTCATCTTTTCAGCATCTCTTTGAGCCCTCTAGGTGAGACAGCCCTATCTTAATGGGTCACTTTAGAGGAACCGAGGAAAAATGTCGTCACATTATCTGCAGTAGCGTTGTTCCGGGTAACTCAGATAAGGATGGGGATGAGAATGTATGGCTTTATCTTGGCTTTCAGAGCTAGGAAGAAGAGATGTGATTTCTTAGATCTGAGGAGAAAAAAGCCTAATTGTTGAAATATTAGTTCCACTAAAAATATTTACTCTGAGAATGGTCATCCCCAGTTTTCTGCGCTGAAATGACGCAGCTGAAATACACAGAAATTCTCGTACTTTGATTGTAGTCATTTTTTTTTCCAGTCTCATCTCATACTGAGCCCTTGTCAGAGCTGTTAATAAAATACCTAATTATGACTTGAATTCCTTTTCTTGTTTGTTTGTTTCTCCTGAATAACTTTTAGAGAACACTGAACTAACAGGTAAACAGCAAGAGGGGAATTTAGGAGAATTAAGTCTTGGGATAATTCCCCTTAGCTAATTCAGCTTTGAGGTAAATGACTAGTCCCCCGACCCAGAGGTCAGCTTTCCTTATTCCCTCTGAGTTAGTCCTTTTTGCCCTGTGAGTCTAAAGAACACCTTTCTTTTCCTCTTCAAACCATCCAGGTATCATAAGGGGTGAATCTTACTCAGAAAAACAATGCTGGTTGAGCCCGCTCTTGTGGCCGAGTTGGCAGTTGTGTGCGTGTTCCTTCTTTTGGTGCAGGGAGGGGAATACCGTGGTAACTTGGGTTGAGCCATAGTTCAATTAGCAAATTAATTAGTCAGGTTTTTAGCGCCAGCCACAGTCATTTAGAAACCTCCTCAGTGGCTCTCTTCCTGAAAGCCAAATGTATTTTGTATTTGCTGTCATCTGCAATTTATAAGCACACGGAATCCAAAAAAACAAACAAACAAAACCAGGAGGAGGTGGGAAGAGCACTATTTACATTGCACAGTCCTGCTGAGACATCTGTGATTATGATCCAGCTATTAGACATGGAGCCCCCTGTAACTTCCGGTAACTCGTTTCTCCTTTCTTTGTCTCTGCCCTCTCCTTTTTATCTCTTTATTCCCACCTGCCCCTGGACCTCTGGCGGGACCACCGCAGCCTTGGATAAGCTCAGCACGCAGCACCTCTACCACCCCACCCAAGTGGAGATCGTGCAGTCCAACGTGGTGTTTGACATCAGCAGTCTGATGCTCTACGGGACGCAGGCGGTGCCTGTGAGGCTCAAGATCCTGCTGGACCGTCTCTTCAGCGTCCTGAAGCAGGAGGAGGTGCTGCACATCCTGCACGGCCTGGGCTGGACCCTGCGTGACTACGTCCGGGGGTACATCCTGCAGGTAGGGGGAGGACGTCAAGCCGGTGTCGGGGGCCAGCTGGAGAAGGGCTGGGGTAGGAGCCCTCGGCAAACCTGCCCTCCTTCCTGCCCCTCACAGGCCCGGGCATGCACACCCCATTCTGGTTAACGTGGTCCTTTTGGCAGGCTGCTCAGGGAATTGGAAGAAAGGAGCTGTGGGCCAGCGGGACGGCGTCCGGCCTCCGGCCTCAGTGGTGAACGTTAGAAAGGAAATGGTGGCCTGTTGCCTAGGATTGCTCTGTTTGCATTCTTTTGAATTCAACTCCCTCTCTCTACAACACGGGCCTCCTGGCTTCCCCAACAGGCCTTATCGAAGCCCTGCTAAAAGGGAGGGTACGGAGGTGGGTGATGGGTGTGCGAAAATCTGAAACTGCACTTCATCTGGGTTTCGTAGGGCTCGTTCGCACGCTTACTTGGTAGGTTTGGTGCTTTCTTGGTTGTCTCTTCTCTGTACCCTAACCATTTATTGCTTCTTCGTCCAAGTCAAAGGAACAACTCTGTAAACTCCCTGCTTTTGTAATCAGTAAACCCTCACATTCCAAAACATGCAAACCTGGTTGTAGATTTGGCCTTCACAGTACCTGTTCCTCCAGCTTGAGCCCCTTCTGTGTGTCAGGGGCACTTCCGGTCTGGTAAGAGTCTTGAGACTTTTCCGAAGGGCCTGCAGCCTCCACTCCCCATGCCCCCAGCCTCCTCGCCTTTTCCATCATTTTTTGCCGTATGTCATGAGTCGTTTTGCATTGTGTACTTTGCCTCTGAAATGCTTTTATGGCCATCTGTCTTCCCACGACCCTTGAAGGGTAAATGTTGAAAGCAGCATGTTGGGAGACCCCAGGATCCAAAAAGACTACACTGGACGATGAAGAAATACTCCCTCCTGCCAAAGGAGATCACAGTTGGAGAAGGTAGAATCTGAAGTGATGTTTTGAAATTTCTTATGGGGGATAATACCAGGAGAACTGACCCATTCAAAAAAAAAAAAATGGTTTTGGTTCTGCCAGCCTTGTTGATTGCCCGAACCACCCTGTGTTGTGTGTGAGGCTGCCAGCTTGGTATGTGATGAGTGGCGGAGAGGGCCTTGAGTCTCACCCTGGCTTTAACCTGGCGTGAACACACACACACACACACTCCTGTCATTCTCCTGTGTGGTACCACTGGGTGTTAGCCAGGGCGAGCGGATGAGGGATGCTGAGTGGAAGTAGAGAAAGGGGGAAGGTAGGATCACCCGCCTGCTCCCGTGACTGCTTTAGTTAGCGTAGAATCATTTCATAGTGAGACGTCAACTTGGAAGGCACAGGGCATTTGGCCCTCAGAAGATGAGTTGGTGCTGATAATAGGAATAATTATATATTACGTTTTCAGTTTATACAAGACTTTCACAAGCATTCTCTCATTTGCCCCAGGTTGGGGACGTTTCAGTGGGGTGAGTGGAAAGTTAAGTCCTGGGTGATCAGGGGGTCCTGAGGCGGTGCAGGGGCCAGGAGGAAGGGGCCAGGAAGAGCAAAGCATGGAACCAGTTCCACAATCCCCGCTTAGGCCAATCTGGAGACACACACAGTGCCACGTCTTTCTACAGTTGTTTCCACACATGATTATTAATGTCCATTTGGGATGGGTTCTACCCTGCAGGAAGGAACAAACCTCTTGCAGATTTCTGAATGGCACTGTCAGCTTGGCTAAGCACTCCTTCCTTTATAAACTGTAGGGTAGTATATGCCCCGACCTCGTCACATCTTTACTGCCTCCAATGCAATGCTTCGTTCTGTCACCAATGCTGTATTTCAGTTCCATGGGTCTGTTTTTGACTGAGATAGCTGGGCCATACACTTGATCTCTTACTGTTGAAACACAGAGATACGAGCATGACTGTGATTAATTGCCATCGTAACAACCCAGTGTCCCGTAGCATTTTGATGGCAGTAAATACAGAACCTGCTCGTTGTTCTGTGCTGTAGTCCTAATGTTCTGCCTTGATCGGTGCCTGTTCTTTGTTTTACTTGAAATTATTACTTAGGTGTTCATTTTTTCTCAGCATTTCCACATAACTGTAAGACAGGCATAGAAAATGTACTCCATATTTAGTTTTGTGTGAGGGCCTAGTACAAGAGAAATTAAATTTCAGAGGAAAATTCAACAAAACCACAAACTAGTATTTATAGTCTCTTATTTTGGGGTGAAATACTGCCTAATAAAGAACACTGTCACTTATTGTGATAATTACTTAATTGCGAAAATTTTAATTAATTTTCATTAATGTCTTAGAGATTTCGAGAAAGTCTCAAATTTGATATAATCTGTTTTCTCCGCTCAGGGTCTGAAATTGACATTTTGAGAAAATCATAGATGATTTTTATATTCGAGGAACACCGGGTTTCGTTTCTGTCTTGTTTTATTGGTAGTACTGATGTCATATGGATTTTATTTAAATGATGCTTTTTGTCATTCAGCATTTATCATCTGCTTGTTTCTTGTGAAAACAATTCTTGGTTTAGGAAAAAAGCAAGAGGTTGAAGGACACAATACTGTTATTTATGTAGTGAGAAAATGCTCATTTCATTAAAAAAAAATAACCAAGAGCTAGACTATAGAAATAAACCTTTTTTGCTCTAAAGCAATGTTATTTGATTATTGGCCAGTACTTTTAAAATTATATATGGTAATGGTAAGGTATGCTCAGATGGCTTGGAATATAATTATATGTAACATTTTTGAGCAGGTACAGACTATAAAATGTGCGTCCAAAGGTTGTGGAACCCTATAATGCACGTTTGGTGTACAAGTCATTTTATCTGGCTAAAACTCAATTGTCTTGTAGCCCTCAAGGCATCAATTTTGGCATTATTGCTCTCAACAACAGTATATTGAATATTATGTCAGTCAGAGGAGAATAATTATCAAGGCAAGTTAGGGTGGCTGTTAGTCTTACCACATATTGACTTGGTTAGCAGCTGGCTATAGATTGCGTTACTGGGCAAATGAAGATGTACAGTAAGTTGAACTGGTGAAGCCAGGATATTAATTTAACTCTCTCTGGGCCCAAACCTACATCCCTGATGTATAAACACAGCCACTTCTGGTTTCAGAAATAGTTTTGAATGTGGAAGAATAGCAGTGTCTGATCTGATTTTGAATTTTTGGATTTGGGGGGAAAGAAGAGCTAGCTGTTCAAACCTATCCTTTGCAGGCGTGTTTGAAGAGGTTATTAAAAGAGAAAGGGAGATGATTGTGGTGGCACAGATTTATTTGGGGCTAGCAATATTTTCCAAGGGTCCTGTACTGTTTCTGTAAAAATTGATTTTCACTTATATGATTATCTGTGTGATTCATAAGCTAACCAGCTGGCTGTAAAATGCAGAGCAAGACTTGGACTACAGTGACTTAAGAATCCAGGTAGTACACAGTATTCTCCTGTGTACCAATTAAAGTGTTCATTCAGAAAGTACCAGAAAAGTGAAGTAAATTTTAGGCATTTTCTCACAAAACAGAAAAAAGGAGGAAATAGGCAATTTGATCCTAAAAAGCAAACTGTAACGGAACATGAGATATTTTTTTCTGCTGCTGAAGAGTTGTTCGTATTTCAAGTCTACATCTCGCAGTACGTTTATTCACAGTGAATAAAAGCAGTGTCCTGTTCTTTCCCCATTTTCCTTGTCTTTGGCCTAGGATATAAGAATATGGGTGATTATCACTGTTGAATTTAATCATTTAAAAATCAAGTGTTCACACAGTCTCTTTGCAGTTTGAACGTGTAACTGACTTGCCTGGGTTCCTGACGCCAGTCCATCTGTGGCCATCTCCTCCTTTGCAAATGAGTCCTGCCAGAATTCAGGGAACCGTATCAGACACTCTGAATAATTAGCTGAGGGGTCAGCAGCCTGGTGAGAGGACGAGCAGTGATGCACATTTCAAGTCACCTGTGTCTTGAAACAATCAGGACTAATAGAACAATCAACCCTCTAGAAGAACATTTCCCAGAGTATCCTGGGTGCATTTGTCTTCCGGAGATCCCACCTGAGCATTAGGCGGACCTACCCTCTGGATCCTTTCCTTAGAGCCTAGTGATAACATTAGCATAATAAAGGCTCTGAGAAGTTGGTTTCTGAGAACAGATAAGTAGCTTCCACCAACCTTGCCCGCTTCATAGCCTCTTCCTGTGAAGCTCATTAGAAGTCTTCCATTCCTGAACACCCTCAACTCTTCATCAACTTCGGGTGCCTGTATGTGTGGATTCTTCTACCTGGACTCCCCTCCTCGTCTCTCTGCGTGGGCAATGCCTTGTCCTTTAGGTGTCCACCCACTTTTTCACGGAGACCTTTTCAGTCCAGCTTAACCCATGTAGGTCTCTTCTCATGTGGCTCTATCTCAGGATTCTGTATCCCTCAAGCTCCAATACAATTTAAAATCAATCACGTCAACTGTTAAAATGGTTTTTTTCCCTGGCTTCCTCACTCGGGAATGCCACAGAGGCAGGGTACTCAATAAGTACTTGTTAAATGAATGGGTAAAGAAACCTGCTTCACTTGATGGAGCTTGACATTTCACCATGGAACCCGTGGAATATCTAAAGACTTCAGCTGGCCCAAGGGTCCTTAGTCTTTCTTCAGGTGTCCTGGGGACCAAAGGCTGTAATAGCAGCTGGGCCATTGAGGGCAGTAAAGAGAGAGGCAGAAGCTCCCACACACGCCCCCTAGCTAGTGGTCTGTGTAGAATAGGTGTTTTGTGGTATGCAAGTGGTAGGAAACAGCAATATTAAGCAAACTCTTGGGTTTAAACAGCCCTTTGCGGAGCAAGTTCACATAGGTTTCGCTCTTTGAATCCTCTTTCTTATACCACCCTCTTGTAGATATTGCCAGTGAATTAACATTTGCAGTTGTTGAAGCTCAGAGAGGTCAAGTGACTTTTCCATGATCACAGAGGCTGCAGATTGGCACAGTGGGTGCACTATAAGCTTCCTGAGGATAAGAACCCCTTACCTCTTGTTTG